GAATTAGTGGAAATACACGGTTTTAGAAGTTTCCATATAATGAACTGAGGTACACTGGAAGGTGACAGATGGAAGCTATGTTTTTTTTTTTAGGGAAATATTCTCTAGATTTCATCATTATATTTTATCAAAAATGACTCAGTGTGGAACATCAAAACATAGTAGATAAAATTCCATTTTTTTCCTGAATCAGATCACAATACTCATCCTCTTTGTTGTGCATTTTCTAAAGCTAATGTTATGCTTGTCACAGAGAATATTTACGGTGCTTTTTTTGGTAAATAAATAATTATAGGAGATAACTGGGATAATAATGAAGGTTTGGGAAACATGTGCGTAAAAATTGAGTTTGACCTTGTGGAAAGGGGTGTGACCACTAAGAGGTAGAGTGAAAAGAGAAGAGAAAACAATCCTTGGAGAAGGTCTTTTTAATTTAGGATGTAGGAAGAAGATAAGGCAGTGAAAGATAATTAGAGCGAGAGGAAAACTACCAAGATGGTATAATTTTACTTGGCAGAAATATGGAAAAAGAATTAGAAGACAGCAAGACTAGTAGCAGTGGAAAGGGAAAGAATTTCAAGAGGCAAATTTTGGTCTAATAAATTCAGAGAAGCTAAGAAAGCTAGATCCAAGGAAGAGATGATTATTTTTAGTTACCGGGAGATCTTTAGTAACAGATGATAGGGAAACTTCAGTACTGAAATCAGGGTCAAACTGTGCAGGAGGTTAATGTCAGAAGTTTAGGAGAGAAGGAAAGAGGTTTTCAGTGGTTTCCATATTTTGATGTCAGAGTTCCTTGGTGATGCAGCTTTTACCAGTTTTTGTTCAAACCGTAAAGAGGCTGTTGCCATTTCTGCTTATGAAGCAGACTATGCTGATTCATTGAAGTGAATCTCAACTTATAAATATAAAATATGTAGAACAAAAAAAATCATGCTCAGTTCTTCTCCCTTTCTACTCAATAACTATGCAAGGCTATTTAGCTTTTGTTCAGCATACAGACTGTATCGTGTATGCTACATTAGCAGCACCAATGAGCAGAATGACCTAAGAGAAAAAGATGTGTGTTGGTTGCACCATCAGCATTGTTATTGGCTTATATCATCTGGGCTTGTGATATAAAGTGAAATAATCAGCAAATTACTTACACCCAGGAGATTATCATTTCTGCTGTTTGACCTAAAGTGTCTTTTAGAAGGACTTGCCCTTTGCTGAGTTTCTCAAAGTTGATATTAAATATTTACTTACAGAACTCAGCGAGAGCATCTTTACTTACTCCTTTGCAATCTGGTTTGAATCTCAAGACATAAATGCAATTCTAATATTAATCAGGACAATCATTGAGAAACTTAAAATAGTGTTTCACTGTGTTATTGTAAAAGTCATGAAGCTGGAGGTGAAACTGTGAGGATTTCTGTTTCCTTCTCTGCCTCCAGACGTGACTATATAGGATGTTGGTATTGTATAACTCATTTTAGAAAGTTGTCTTTGGAAGGATTTTCAGAGTATATGACACGTTATTTTGGATAGTCTCGGTAGTAGTAAACCTTCTTCCGTTACAGGATGGATCAAAGTTAAGGAAATGGCTTTAAATTTTGGAGGCACCATTGGGGAATAAGGTAAAGATTAAAATGAATAATTTCACTTCTAATGAAGTAAAGAGTATTTCCAAAGTACTGCAACTAATATTCTTGTGAAAGGTGTCAGTAGGTTATATTGCCTTTGCTAAATTGGGGCAAGCATCAATATTTCAATGCAAATAGTCTTGGATATTTGGGGATGACACATTAAAAGCATAGTGCTAAGTTTTTCATCTTCAGATGGTTACTATAAACGGGGCAAGCAAAGTACCTTAGCTCAGGTCAGCATTCTGATGGATTTGATTGATTCCTGGTTGTAAATCTCAGTGGCATTCTTATCCTGCTTGGGGACAGAGACAGTGACTGCCCTAAGGTACAGAGAGGGAAATGAGCACTGGTGGCCGAATGTGTGTTAACTGTATGCATAGTTAAGAGACATAAGAAAGAAATATCCAGAAAAATAGAGGATATAGGCGAATGGACACTTGAGTAAGTACAATGAAGAAATAAAGGATAAGAAGAGACGGTTGAGGGAGACCAAAGAGAGACAGGAGAGAAAGGCTATTGTTGTAAAAGTAGGTTCATTGGAGAATTAGCTGAAGTGCATGGGGAAAAATACATTGTCTTGTGAGTTAGGTGGATAATGCCTTATGAAGTTGTGTGCAGCTTGTGCCTGTTGTTGGGTCAAAGCCAGTGTTTCCAGATGGCCACAATAACCAGGAGGTCCCTTGACAACTCACTCCAGAGCCTAAAACAAATCGAAAATGAAAGGTATGGCTCCTTATTAAGATTGTCTGTGTATTCAAACAGTGGCATTCTTTATCATGCATCCTGCTGACGCTGTGGCTCCTGTTTCCATCACAGAAGCTATTTCACTTAAGATGAGAAGAGGTCTCATTAATAAATCATATTGCATGATATTCCTATAGTACCTGGATGACATGCCCACACTTTGCAGAGAAATGAAATTAAATAGACCCAGAGAGAATTTTATAGCAAGTCTTTCTTTTATGTGTCATTTGGAATCATCAATTGCTGAACAAATTTAAGATTTAAGATACACCTGTCAGTATACATATACTTATGTATAAAATAAGAAATCACTGCAGAGATTTCCTAGATGAGATGAAAGCTATTTTTCATGTATGTGAAGAAAGGACATAGTTATCAAATACACTAAAGGTTATTTTCAACTCTGTACCCAGACAAAAACAAAAAGTGTGGGCATGAATAAAAGACAGTTATCTCCTCTTTGCCTTATGTTAAGGTATGAAATAATGCAATGAAATACATTCAGTTGCTTTTTCAGATGTTTCAGTCTGCTTTGTAGAAGATTGGTAATAAAGGATATGTCAATTTACATATTACACAGAGTTTTGGCAAACAAGGGCCACTTAAAGAGGCAATCTTGCTTTCCTTTGGATTCATACTATACAACAGTTACTAATCATTATTGTCTAATATTTTTTGATTGTCTAGAATTGGCAGTTGGAATCTGTACATATTTTAGCAATGCACGTATTCATGAAACAAATCTATATTTTTCTACAGACCATCTATTTTTGTGAAGGAAATACAATGATATAAGATAGTGTTTGGTTTATCCTTCAAAAAAGATTATTTTAAAAGAATGGTAGATGTTATGTTCTAGGTTGTTAGATTGCATTTCTGGATGGCTGGTTTCCATTTTTTGCATTGAAATGACTCTGAGATTCAGAAATATCAGCTCTTTATTTATCTAAAGCCACATAGTTGGCCAGGAGCAGTGGCTCACACCTGTAATTCCAGCACTTTAGGAGGCTGAGGCTGGCGGATCACGAGGTCAGGAGTTCGAAACCAGCCTAACCAACAAGGTGAAACCCTGTCTCCACTAAAAATGCAAAAATTATTAGGGATGGTGGCGCGTGCCTGTAATCCCAACTACTTGGGGGGCTGAGGCAGGAGAATCGCTTGAACTGGGAGGCGGAGGTTGCAGTGAGCTGAGATGGCGCCACTGCACTGCACTCCAGCCTGAGTGGCAGAGTGAGACTGTCTCAAAAAAAGAAAAAAAAAAAAGACACATTGTTGACTTTAGTAGTGGCTTTAAGCACTATTCCGTTAATGGTCAGTACTCTATAGAGCATTACAGGGGATCAGTCTTGGACAAAGTAACCCTTTTTTCTCAGAAAGATATTACTGGATTTATGTTTCAAAAGATCATTCTTATTATATTGTGGAGAATTGAATGGAAGGAACATAAGGGGAGGAAGGAGGACAGTTGGGTAGGTATTTCAGTAGTTGGGTAAGATAAGCCATATTACTTTTTGATTAGGAGCATGGATTCTGAATCCAGACTCTCTATTTTGAATGTAGTATCTATCACCTATGCAAGTGACTTTGGTAACTCACTTAATATTGTTCTATGTGTCAATTTTTCTATCAGTAATCTGGAAATAATTATAGTTCCTACCTCGAAAGTTATCATGAGAAAAAAATGAATTAGCGTACCCTAGAACATGCCAGGCGCAGGGCAAGCACAAAGTTAAGTACATACTGTTAGTGAACTAAGATGTTTGAAACAGGGAGAAAAATAAGTGACCCTTATTTGAGTATATCGAGGTATTATAATGAGCACATAACTTAGTTATGGACTGACTTTTGGGGGAAGGAGTCAGTCCATAGCGGATAGTGTCATATGCCATTCATTGGAAACAGAAATATTGGAAGAGGACAGGAGATTGTGGGAGTGATGAGGATGTCCAAATACAATATTATTATTTGTTTAAGAATTAATATGTAGTGTAACATACAGGGTAAGTTAGGTCCTTGGGGAAGATTAAAATTAAAAGTTTTAGACTTTATTTAATTGCTTCTTGACTGAATGACACAATATGACCGAAGTGCCTTTGTGGGTACATGTGTCTGTATGTGTCAGGGGAGTCAGGTACTATCTTGTCGTAAAGAGGCTTTGGTCAGCATTAGGACTCTATGGAAACACATTAACTTTTAGATATAAAAGTATCATAAATACAGTAAAGATTTTTAAAGGAATTGGATTATGTAGGGAATGAGCTATCATTAACGTGTATAAATCTTAGGTGACTACAGTTTGTTCTCATAGCTAATGTTTTGTTTTTTTTACTCATACGTTTTTCACATTTGTTCCTAAAATATGTTAATGCTTACATAGCTTGTTAAACAATGATGTATGCATTTTCTTGTAACCAGAACTACTTTTTATGCTTTAGAATCTTTTAGATTCCACAAATAAAATGCTAAGTAAATAAGTATTAATAAGTTTCAATGGATAATTAAATCTATATTTCTCTCAATATGTTAATTTTGTATTTTATGTAAAAGGACATTAAGTTTTAAGTAAATTAATATGATTGTATGCCAATTTCAATGATTTTTTCCTGTCTATTTTTCCTATTCTTCTAGTCTGCTCCCAGTTTTCGAGAGGAGTCTATGCTATTTTTGGATTTTATGACAAGAAGTCTGTAAATACCATCACATCATTTTGCGGAACACTCCACGTCTCCTTCATCACTCCCAGCTTCCCAACAGATGGCACGCATCCGTTTGTCATTCAGATGAGACCTGACCTCAAAGGAGCACTCCTTAGCTTGATTGAATACTATCAATGGGACAAGTTTGCATACCTCTATGACAGTGACAGAGGTAAGTGACAATATCTCATCTCTTTGTAATGGGGTGAATTCAATGCCTACACTTGACACTTCTATGGCTATTATAAAGCTACAAAGGTGTGATAAAGCCCAAGGATCCCTTGATTTAATTTTGCTGTGATAATGACTAATGCATTTGTAAACGTGGGAAACATATTTAGAGTAAAACAACAACAACAAAAGCTGTCTGTGTACAATGTAAAGAGATAGACTGTATCAACCCAACGCCCGAATATTCCGTTGTAACATAAAGAGCAATTTTTGGCATCAGCAGCTAAAAACTTATGATAGCTATACTAGTAGTCCAAGGTGAATGAAGTGACTTGAGTAAAATTTAAGTGAAACATACAAATAAGAACTTTTATAGTAACATATAGTTGTTAAATATTGTTATATGCCAAAGTTTTATCAGGCAGGTGGCATTATTATTGCCCTTGCCTTAAAACAAGATCCCCGAATCTCACAGAAGTTAAAGGTTTTTCTCAGGATCAACCCACGTGTGGTATAGCTTACATGCAGGTCTCTGATACCAAACCTATGCTTTTGACACCATTCCACATAATTGTTTATGATGGGATGATTTTGAGTAGCATGCCAGTCTTGATTCATTATGTTAAAATGTAATGGAGGGAGGTACAACGTTTATGTTTCTCATATCCCTTGTTGTGAAGTTTAGTATTAGCAGACTTGCTTCATTTATGTCATAGAATCCCAGGTGTTCTTAACCATTCCTGGGTCCATAACTGGGTGTCAGTGGGTTTGAGTACTCCTGGGTCCATAATTGGGTGTCAGTGGGTTTGAGTACTCCCTAAATTGTATGAAACATCTTGTGGGTGTGTGTGTTCATATGGATATGTTTTTAAAGAGAGTATCCCTAAATCAAAGTGAAAAGGGTGAAGGACCACTATTGTCCCTAAGTACCATACTGTGCTTCCCTCAGCAACTTGCTTCCTGGAATATTTATAGGTTCAAATGAAAACCCAGAAGCCTATTTCGACCAAGATAGGGCACCTTGTTAAGCCACAAGGGCAGACAAGAAGAGAGCCAGCCGTCAGTCAATTCTCCATTGATCAGTTTGTAGTCATTTACTGCAGCAGTCTCGAGTCGGGAGTGCAGGAGCTAGGTGTCTGATTCTCTGCCCTGTCCTCCTAGTCCTGGGAATGAAAATACTCAGTGGAAAAGTCAGTCAGCACTAAACAAGCTGAAAAAAAATTTGCTATGTCAACAACTATGTCCCCCTGCTTTGAGAAGGGAGTGCTTGGCTATTTCCATAGGGAATTAAAAACTAAAACAGAGAACTATTTACAGTAAATATAGATTTCAATGTGCTGGATGTTTCTGAAGCACACTTATTAACATGATAAAAGGGCTTATAAAACTGAGCGTATTAAATTATTTTTAGTTTTTCTTCTTGCCCTCTGCTAACTTCTTTAGTATTTTGTGTTGTCCAAGCTAGCCTGAAATCTGGGTGTATTCTTAATACCTCTTTCATCCTTGCATCCTATTGATGTGATTTCCACTGCCTAATTATATTTTATCTGTAGACACTCATCCTTTTCGTTGCCATTACCCCAGGCCAAGCCACCATAATGTGTTCAGTATCTCATCTCTCCAATTCTACGCTTGTCTTTTTTTAATCCATTTTCCACGAAGTAGCAGGAATTATTGTTTAAAAAAATTGTTTTTGGACTGCATTACTCTCTTGTTTAAAATACTTCAATGGCTTCTCATTATGAGGATAACACTGAAAAATTTTAGTTGGCTTTAAGGTCTTATAATATCCAATTCCCACTCAAGTCTCCATTGCATTCTGCTGTCTTGCTCACTCATTAAAGCCAAATCTATTTGACCTTCTTTCACTTTCCCAGATGCAACAAACTCTTTCACTTCAGATCTCTGCCCATATCACTAATTCTTACTCCTCCTTGAGAACTGGGTTCATATATCATTTCCTCAGAGACGCCTTTCACACTTTTATCTCTGAAAGCAATCTCTTCTTTTCCTTTATAGTACTTAGGACAATTTATAATGAATGGTGATGTTCATTCTGTCACTTAAAAACTACCTATTGAGCCCCTGCTATGTTCCAGGTACTATAGGATAAGCATCATGTTTTTCATGTAAAGTGTGGCAATAAGCTCCAGGAAGAGAGTGCCCAGGCAGTGCTCAGTGTACTGGATGTTCAACTCATGACTCTGTACCCAGTGCTTCAGATAATGCTAGAAAGAGTTGATGTTCAGTAAATGGTGTTAATAAGTAAATGAATTAAACATCTGTGTACAGTATTTTAAGTTCAAGATGATTTTAGAAGCTAAATTTTGCTTGCAAAATTGAAGAATTGAATGACTAATTCTCTTTACACTTTGACAAGGTTGATTGAGGATGGCATTTTTAGTTTAAGAATAAATTTCACCTTCATCCTTACCCTTATCACTGCTCCCTCTAGTTGTAACTGAACTTTTGAGAAAAATTCAAATAGACAACAGCTGATATAAGTTAAAAAAAGAGAAACTCTAGTGTTTGAGGAGAGATATTCAGAAAGACAGGATCTGGAATTAGCAGGTGAAGATGGATGGACTTATGTACTTGTGAAAACAATCTGGAACATTTTAAAATGCTTTTATTACTACTTAGAAATATTAAATGAAATTGAAGTGATGAGATAATCTACAATTATTAAATTATACAAGTTGATTTGAGTTCAAGTGCATCTGTTGAGATAACAACATTAGAGTGATAATATTAAGTAATTACATATTAAAGCCAAAGTGACCTTATGGATACATTTTCAAGGTGTTATCAAGTAGTTGTTGATGTTTTAATGTGAAAAGTATTACAGGGGCCTTTTATCTGAAGTTATTTTTAGAAATAAATATGTAAGACTCTCATAATACTGGCAAAAGACTTGACCTTTGTATAATGTTTTACTTGGTGCATGGAAATGGAATTTTTGCTATTTTTTTTTCTTATTAATGACTTAATTTTATGGCTTTGCCATCATGCTACATTTTAACAAGCTTATTCACATATTTAGTGTGTGAACTGTTTTTCTGCCATTTGGTCCTGAAATCGTTTTGCTTCTGCTTCAAAGTGGGCACCTCCTTGCTTTAGTGTCACATGATTTGAAGAATGCACCTGCGCTCCCTTTATCCACATTAACCACAGTTTGGAAAATAGATCCCATGGTTTCATCTCTCTACTTACATCTCTACATGCCTCAGTTTCAAACAATTTGGTCTATTCTCGATGTGGCTCTCTCTTCACCTCCTTGATTATATGATTATTTTTAGGCTCTAATCATCTTTACTTTTTGTAGAGTCTAGGTCAGGAATATATATTGTTAAATTATAATGTCTAAATGCATAAATTACTGTTCTTTGGAATAGAATAGAGTCCAAATGTGAAAATGATCTCCCAACATTCTACCCTAGTAATGAACTAGATGAAAAAAGACTTAACATTGTTATATGCTGCTTAATTTCACTACCTTTAACTACTGAAAGCCATTCCTGCTTCCTGGCTATCTGCTCCAATGCTGAGCAATAGGCCAAGAGACTATATCTCACTTGTAAATGATTAGAGACATGGATACACTGATAGAAACATCTTTGTATAGCGACATCTTTGTATGGAACCCTCTTTGACTAATCTAAGTTTACTGGTGAGAGGAGAGCTGAAACTCTGAATCTGGTGCCAGGTGATCTTTTAGGTTGTTGGTGTCCTCTCCTTACCAAGGCCATGTGGCAACAGCCTGGCGCTCCTGGATGACCCTTGATGACTCTGAAAGCTGCATATCATCACTCCATAAAGAGAACATAAGGAGAATTTCAACACATTATTAACAATAGAGCAATGGGGTTATCTATGTTAATGCATTCAAGATTATGCAGTAGTTTTATTTTTGGATATATATGTTGTAAGTTTGAATCAGGACTTAATCTAAATGTAGTTTTTGTCAACAAGGTAAGATAATACATTTATTTATTTATTTATTTATTTATTTATTTATTATTAAGTTCTAGGGTACATGTGCATAACGTGCAGGTTTGTTATATATGTATACTTGTGCCATGTTGGTGTGCTGCACCCATCAGCTCGTCAGCACCCCCATCAACTCGTCATTTACATCAGGTATAACTCCCAATGCAATCCCTCCCCCCTCCTCATGATAGGCCCCGGTGTGTGATGTTCCCCTTCCCGAGTCCAAGTGATCTCATTGTTCAGTTCCCACCTATGGGTGAGAACATGAGGTGTTTGGTTTTCTGTTCTTGTGATAGTTTGCTAAGAATGATGGTTTCCAGCTGCATCCATGTCCCTACAAAGGACACAAACTCATCCTTTTTTATGGCTGCATAGTATTCCATGGTGTATATGTGCCACATTTTCTTAATCCAGTCTGTCACTGATGGAGATTTGGGTTGATTCCAAGTCTTTGCTATTGTGAATAGTGCTGCAATAAACATACGTGTGCATGTGTCTTTATATAAAGAGTAGGTAAAAACAGAATTAGCACTTTATATCTGTATGTCTTGGTTTCAATTCTGAGCAATATTATTCGTCCCCTGAAGGGAAGGCACTTTGCCTGTAGTTCCAAGAAAACATCACGCATAGAACAAAAATGCTTTCAAATTATAATATTTTCCCTCATATTCCTGAGAGAGCTGATGAGGGAAATATATGTTAATCTAATTTGGCCTAGGCATGCTGCCACGATTTAGTGATCATAAATATTAATTTCTATGCTTGAAAGAATGAGTAAGTACAGTTAATTTTAAACGGAACAAAGAAAATATTTTTAAGCAGTAGGACATGGTTTGAATAAAATGTATCTTCTGGCAGTAATCGTTTTTAATTTAACCCTTTAACGTGCAAACTGATAGACTTCCCCTGTGTACCAAGTGACCTTTTAAAGGGTTTGCGTACAGACAGGTGACTGATGGCTTGTCTATAACTCAGAGTGTTATTAATACTGGGTCAAGATGAGACTATCACTGACTGACTAGTAGTAATACTTTGGGAGAATTTTGGGAAGATTGTCATTTTATGAATAGGTTATACAATTACAGCCAGTCAGTAACAATAGCCACATAAAGAAGTAATGCAATTTAACATTATTTAATCTAGCCATTTTTTATTTTAGCAAAGCATCTAATAATTCACTAGAGTTTAGAACTTACTTTTAGACTCCAGCAATATTCTTGAGGGTTTAAAAGAACATACTATATTTTAGATATATTTACTAGGAGGAATAGTTAACCTTCCAGATTTCTTCTGTTTTTAGATGAACAACTATGTATCTCAGCAGTCTTGTTTTAAGTAATTCAATAAAAATAAGTGAGTCTCTGCTATAGAAATTCAAATATCCTAATATAGTACTAGGGATATTAGAGTTGAATGACTATTGCATCCCAATAGCTTTAAGTAAACCAGTGTTTATGCAGAACTCCCATTGTCCATACAACTTTGTATTCTGAATTACAGGATCAATATATTTATAGATACTTCTGTGCTAGTTTGTGTGGAAGGAATAGAGGCAGATCTCAAGTCATACTTTATCCTCTAATTGAATATGGTACAAAGAGGTCAAGAGCACAAATCTGTGTTAGGTTTGAAGAGTTTAATTTCACCTTCATATACATTTTCAGTGATTTTCAAATTTAAAAATGGTGTATTAATTATAAAGCAATCAGATGATACCAAAACTTTTAGTTGTGAGAAATGGGGAGATCAAGTTGAGAGAATCTGAGAGTCAGTTACTATTACTGAAAAAAAACCTAGGGAAATGGGTTATTAAGCATTGAATGGTGGTCTCTTCAAATTACACGTCAGATAATGCAATCATTTGTGAATTACTTCTGCCTGTTGTTAGGAAGTAATTTAATATTATTCAGTGTCTTCTTATGAAACTCAATTTATTAAGTCTGATATAGCACTACTTGAGCAGTTTAGTTTCTTAATAAACATGTAAGTTTTGTTAGGTTCCACAGGTTACAAAACATTAATCTTGTTTTAATAAGAGTGAATCCTGAATCCACAGCAAGTGTAAATTACTTTTGACGCATAGAACAAATGAGTTTGAAAGTTAGAGAAATTTCTTTTCTTTTTTTTTAATGGGGTCCCGCTCTGTCACCTAGGCTGGAGTACAGCGGCGTGACCTCGGCTCACTGCAATCACCACCTCCCAGCTTCAAGGAATTCCCCTGCCTCAGTCTCCCAAGTAGCTGGGATTACAGGCGCTGGCCACCAGGCCTGGCTAAGTTTTTTTTTTTTTAGTAGAAATGTGGTTTTGCCATGTTGGCCAGGCATATCTCGAACTCCTGATCTCAAGTGATCTGCCCACCTTGCCCTCCGAAAGTGCTGGGATTACAGGTGTGAGTCACCGCACCTGGCGCAAGTTAGAAATTTCTTTAAATATTCTTTTTGATTTTATACATCATCTCTATACTCTTTTGCAAGGTGAACTGCTGGAAATTTTAGATTTAGGATTACCACTTGGTGAAATCCATTTACAAAGTGTCATTTATATTTAAGCTTTCTTGTAATATATGTTAAATGTTGAGGCATAATATTAAGAGCATCACAACTTGAAATTGTGTCATGTAGTATGCTTTATAATTAAATAAAACAAAATGAAATAAACTATTGCAGAGAAGAAGGGATGCTATTGGTAATTGCTATATAGTAATATATGGATAGCACAGAGAGCCCCATCCATGGATATAATGTCTTTAAGAAGGTGACAAAGAGGAGCTGAACCATGACTGGGATGTAGGAAAGTAGAACCCAGCAAATAGAAAGTGGCTTAGAATTTAGATTTTTTTTTCCTCTTACTTGCAGAGAAAACTGGGTAGACTTAATGGCTGTTTTCAAGTACACTGATAGCTGTTGAATTGATCATAATGCCAGCTGTGCGTGTTCTGCCTCTACTGATGAAAAGGGAAGGATTTAATTGACCTATAGTGTATGGAAATCATAGGCGATCTGTGAGGTGTTTTAAAGATCCGTCACTGAAAGTTTTAAAAAATGACATATGGTCTTTTTGCATTATCCCTTAAGAAATGTGTTTATTTGTATATTTTACCAGAAGACTGGACAGAGGAAACTAATTTCATTTTGCCAGAAAAAGAGTTAACTTTTTTCAGCATGTGGTTCAATCTTCCATTCTGAAGTAAAATTTAATTATTTTTAATGTTTATTATAAAATATTTAAAACAACAAATTAGAGAAAATGCTATAAAGATTCCCAAACACTCTTAATCTGACTTTATTAAAGACTATTATATGAGTAATTTTGCTTGATCTATATCTCTTTGTTCCCTGCAATTATTTAGAAACAAATACCAGACATCCTGTCATCTCATTTGTAAATATTTCAGTGTTTATTTGGAAAAAATGATTCTTGTGTTTTAAATATAATAACAATAGCATTATTATACCTAGAAAATTAACAATTCATAAATATTATTCTTTTTCCACTGTTTGTTTGAAGCAAAATAAAACTGAGATCCATATATCATAATTAGTTAATATAATTTTTAAGACTCTTATAATGTAATGCAGTTTCCCACAGTCTAGATTTTGATGATTGCAACACCATGGTGCTTAAAATGTTGTCTTCTACATATGCCCTATAACTTGGTAGTTAGATTCAGAAGTGTGATGAAATTCAAGTTTACATTTTTGGCATGAATGTAGCCAACACCAAATAGGTATGTACCTATTCAACACCAAAATAGGTGTAGTTGAATATTATCATTGGGAGACACATCTCTGTTATCTCTCTTTTTGGGTAGTTACCAGTAGTTGATGATTGTTGCCTTGATTTATTAATTCAGTAGGTGTTACAAGATGCTGATAATTTCAGATATATATTCATCCATAATCTATTAGCTAGAGTATTTCCAAAAATAAAGACCGTTAGTTCATTATTACCTTGAAAGTGGTTCATATAGGAAACGCAGGAAAATGCTTGTTTTACTTCATTATTTACCAGTCTTCAAATTAACTAACTGGTTCCCTAGCATCCACCAAAGTCAAGCACATTTTTAAAACATAATTTCATAGATTTAAAATAGTTTATGTATGTAAGTACTTCGCATTTATCATTCTAATTAATATTCAAATAGTCCCATTTTTATTTAAAGAGTTCCTCTTCAAATTAGCTGCTGCGTGCTTTGAGGTAATACTGATGGTTTTAGAGAGTTCCTTCCCTTCTGGTGTCATAAGATGTTTCAGACTCATCTTGTACACTTTTTGGCCAATATTGAATCCACAAAATTTTTAATGGTGGTTTTTCTTTTTTGAAATAGTTTTCAACAAAATTGATAATTGACTTTTTTTCATAACGAAAAGATTTAAATAAAATTTGGTATCTCAATTTAGGTTTTGAAGAGATATGATCACATTAAGTGAATCCTACATTTTATTAATCAAAAGGGACTAATAATCTTTAGAGAAAGATGCAGGCTTTTCTAGAATAAGGAAGTTGATTTGCTGAGTTCTGGATTCATTCTGGAGTCTTGATTTTGCGTTGTTTATTAAGTTATCAATATAAATGATGAATTTGGTTTTGCTGTGAATAGCAGAAGTAAAATGAAAGGCAAGTTTATGTAGCATGTCTCCAAGTGCTAAATTGACGATATAACTTTTCAAGAAACAAATCCTCTAGTTGTTGTACCTCTTAGTCCTAAGTATGAGGTAATATATGGACAATTACAAAGACAATAAAAATTTTCCAAGTGATATGATGCTATAAGCGAAGTTACTAACAGGAAAATAGACATATTTGGAAAGAGAAGTAAATCTATGCTAGAGAAATAACTACCACCATCTGGTTAATAGGTGACCACTTCAATTTCTCTGGGATCATTCCCAATAACAAAAAAATAACATTAGAAGACTGTGGAAGGAAAAAAATGAACCCAAACTGCTGACTAGAAAACAATAGGAGTCTCATAAAGAATATTGCCTCTTATCCTCACATAGACTTACATAGATTCCTCTCACTGAAAATGTACTTGTCTTATTCAGGATACTAATATCAAATGACAGACCATCATGTTCAAGTAAAAAAAATTTTTTTCCATTCTGTAAGAGTAAGAAATGTTTGTGATGTCATTTGATTTCACTGAAACCAAAGGTATTAACATTACACTTTAGGAATACTCTAAAGAAGACAGCTGAGAAGGTTGAAAGAAAAGGATATTATTTTCTACTCAAACAATGACTCCTTTGGTCAGAACACTAATATTTAGGTAATGAGTTTTTGATGTGAAAGGACATAAGTAGAAGTTGATAAAGATCATAGCTATAGCTTTTTCTGAAGGAGTCAACGTTCCTTTAGTTCCCAAATCTATCTGCCTTAAAAATGTATTCGCTGGCAATTTCATAACACAATCCTGAGTTATTCACGTATCTGTATCAGTCATCATTTTCCTTTGCCTTCCTAGGCTTATCAACACTGCAAGCTGTGCTGGATTCTGCTGCTGAAAAGAAATGGCAAGTGACTGCTATCAATGTGGGAAACATTAACAATGACAAGAAAGATGAGATGTACCGATCACTTTTTCAAGATCTGGAGTTAAAAAAGGAACGGCGTGTCATTCTGGACTGTGAAAGGGATAAAGTAAACGACATTGTAGACCAGGTTTGCTACTTTCTGTTTTCTAATGATGCCAGATAGAGAATATGCATGCAATGTCAGCATTTGCAATGTGTATTTGTGTAAGGTGCTTGAACAGCAGTTTTTGCTTTATGTTTTATGTCGGATGCAGCAAAGATCATCAATTAAATTATCTCTGGCTTCAGTTAGCAATAGCAAATGGTCATCAATAATGCTGACACATCATGTTAATCATTAAATAAATTCAATAAATAATTCCTGATTTTATGTTTTATATGATCAATGATACCCTAAACTTTGATATTTTGATTTGAAAATTTAAGTTTAAGTCTGATGAACTATTTAGAGTTAAAGAAATATACATGTATTAAGACAAGACAAGTTGAGTTCTAAGGGAAAAGTGAGTAATTCATGAATTTTTTGGAGTTACCATCTATGCCTCCAGAAAGAACATGTAGTTATCTTTGCAAGATATATATTTTTTTATCTATTAAGGGACTTGTGCCACTATAAAAAACATTGATTTGTTAAAATAAGTAGGCAGGACAACATTTGGGCTATGTTTACTATTGAGAAATAAACTAGATACATCCCCTTGAACTGTTTGAAAGAATCACTCAAACAAGTGATAAGGATATTTTTCTCTGTGCTTAGATATTACCTTGCTTCAGTTTAAGATCTTTCAGGATAGGGAGTCATGCAGTGTTATCCTAATAATACAGATACAATCCACCGTGATTTACAGATAGAGTAAGTCACTAGGGATGATGGTGACACAGCATCAGCATCATGATTGATTGACTAAGGTCTCCTTTACTGATATCCGCATCTATTCCTAGCTGATAAATGTATATGTGTGTATGAGTGTATATGTGTGTACATATGCATATATGTATATATATATGTGCACATATATAAATTTTACAGTTGACCCTACCAATATCCTACCATTGACCAGAAACCTTACAGATAACACACAGTCAATTAACACATACTTCATATGTTATATGTATTATATACTGAATTCTTATAATAAAGTAAGCTAGAGAAAAGAAAATGTTATTTAGAAAATCATAAGGAAGATAAAACCTATTTACTATTCACTAAGTGGAACTGTATCATCATAAAAGCCTTCATCATCATCATCTTCACATTGAGTAGACTGTAAAGGAGGAGGAGGAAGAAGGGTTGGTCTTGCTGTCTCAGAGGTGGAAGAAAATCCATGTATAAGTGAATTTACACAGTTCAAACCCATGTTGTTCAAGGGGCAATAGTATACACTGTGGCTACTAGTGCCTTCGCATACTGTGGAAGTGCAAGGAAAATACGCACTTGTATATGCATTTCTTGGCTCTTCTAGCTTTGAGGAAAAAATTTGATTCATTAATTTGTTCAACACAAACATTCTGCAACATAAATGTTGATGAAATCCTAATTGATATACAATAATACAGGCCCTAAGACATACAAAATGGATCTTTCATGGAATACTGAATAACTGAATAGAACTAACTTGTTATGTGAAAGAACTAAATGTTGTATGCCAGAGAGGTGAATAATTTCAGTAGAAAAATCTTGATTCTGGTCTCAAGAGATGAAGTTAAGATTGTTTTTAACTTGAAGGCCTCTTGTTCAAATGTGAACTGCAAAAACTCATTTGAATTTCACAGAGGTTCTCATTAAAACTGAATTTTAATATTATTCATCAGTCTTTGATTTAGAAAATTTAAGGATTCCTGACTCATCATAATAAATGTTGGTGAAAGACTGTATCAAAATATATTTTTCCAAAACGAGAAGAGAGAAACTACAAAAGAAATCAGGAATATATTGGAAGTGATATTTTGAAGTAAATATGATTATGGTTACATAAATGTCCATATGGACATCTGTTCAAAATGCAGAGTATTTTGCACATATGTATTGTAAGTCCCTTGAATGTATTAAATGAGTGCATGCAATGGATTGCCTTAGCAAACATTGAGGCCATCCTCTGTGCTTGAAATGAGGGATGCAAAGAAAGGTAAGAAAGAGTGATGTCTGCATCCCATGAACTCGTTGTTTAGAGATAAAAATGGACACAGTGTACACAGACAGCACTACAGAATTACAAATTAAAATGCAATGTAGTCTAGCAGCATGGAGGAGAAAGAAGCTTTCTTAAAATGGGAAGGATCATCTGTGATGAGTTCACATAAGACGTGGCATTTGGCTTTGCTTCGATTCATTCATTTGTTCAGTAAATATTCCCTGAGTGTCTGATGTTTGCCAGACAGGCACTGCAGTAGATCCAAGGAAGCAATGTTAAACAACAGGCCAGCCACCATCAGTGCAACTATTAATAATGTATTTACAGAAATTAATATATAATTATACTAATGGGATACACTATAAATGAAAAGAATGGTATGTTATGAGAGATCATTACAGAAAGAAATAATTTAGATTGGGATATTCTTCGAGGAATAGTTTACCAGGCAAAAATGAGGAGGATAAAGTACGTTCCAAAAAAAATAAAGAAAAAGAAACAATGCTTAGTTATTCACTCAGCCAGTGTTTCTTCAAGACAATAGAGATGAAATAGCACTCTTTATTGCAACAGTAGCTTGAAGTTAGCAATAAATGAATTTTTATTAGACTATCTGTATTTATATTTACTTATTTATTTTGAGACAGAGTATCGCTGTCACCTGGCTGGACTGCAGTGGCGCGATCTCGGGTCACTGCAACCTCCAACTCCCTGGTTCAAGCGATTCTACTGCCTCAGCCTCCTGAGTAGCTGGGATTATAGGCACACACCACCACACCCAGCTAATTTTTGTAGTTTTCAGTAGAAACAGGGTTTCACCGTGTTGGCCAGGATGGTGTCAAACTCCTGACCTCGTGATCCACCCACCTTGGCCTCCCAAAGTGCTGGGATGACAGGCGTGGACTATGGGTATTTTGTTATCATTTGATACAAACTTGACAGCACAGATTTCTAGTTATCATTAGGTGGGAAAAAGATTCAGCAATCAAAAACACTTATAAATTAATGTAACTTTTCTATTGTCAGTGCAATAATAATTGTTATTATAACACAAAGACACACTGGTTAGTATGGCCAATGCAAATTTTCATATAGACACTGGGCTAGTGAATTTTCATATCCTTCCTTTCTCTCAAGTAAACTCAAGTAGGGACTACTGATATTACCTTTTATACTATGTTTTTTTAAAAAATTTCTCAGCACGAAGATATGGATGATTCAGAGAGTAGAATGTACAGTAAGCACAGCTAACAGATGTCAGCAGGAAATAGGAGGGACATAATCAATCTGATTCAGCTGATGCTAATTCATATGTTTTTCATTCAGAAGGACATCTTTTCTTCAGAATTCTCCCTTTAACACAGAGGGTTCAGTTTCTTGGAAAAGGCAATTTAGTCACGTTACGTAAAACTGAGTCAGAAAACAATATAAGTTTAACTTCTTTTCAAACGGCCATGGCTTAATGTCAAAGTGGCATATGGTAGAATCGTTCCTAGGATTTTGTTCTTGCTCTTTAACTAATAGCATTGCTCTGGAGCACCTGACTTTGTCTCGGATTAGAGAAAGTCAGGGTAGTTTTCTCCCGGGGAGTATAAGAATTATTCAAGAGTCAATTAGGCAAAGGATATAGTGGTGGAGCTTTCCAAGCAGACAAGCAGAGGAAACAGAATGTGTGAAGCCCTGAGGTGATGAGAAGCTTCTCTGTGAACAAAAAAACCTAAGAGGACCAATGTGACTTGAGTGTATAGAATAGGAAAGTTGAACCTCAGAAACTTGCAAGATCATTGGAAAGCAAAACTCACCCAAACCATTTAATCAGAGAAATGATTTGGTTAGAATTTTTGCCTATAACCTTAACATTTCATGCTTTCCATTGATGGGATCATCTCCTTAAAAAACATACATGACATTACATTTGAATGTCCATGTACCAGGACTAAAGCATGGCCAGTTTGCCTATTTCTACTCTCTTTGTAATTATACATATCAGTCAAAAGTCAAATCGATCAATAATGTCCAAAATCGTTGTCAGCATTACCACGATGACCACTTGTTCCATGCTGTGTTTATCTTGACATTCATTTTAGATTTCGATTTGTAGAAAAAAATTAGCTTCTCTGATACTTTGCTCTCTAGAGCTGGCAATAATGTCCATTTGGACTAAATTATAAACATTTCATGGTCCTTAGGATAGGAATGTTACTTTATATATCCATGTAAGAATTCTTTTATATGCTTTCTAATATTCTTTTGAAATGTATGTAGTACTATAAACTCTATGTGTATTTATTTGACTATAGACATATGAATATAAAATCTCAGATGTTAAACAATTTGAGCTGTTTAATGTTTTATTATAAACACAAAAACATAGCCTTTGTAGAAACAGAATTATGACTTGTCATGGACTAAACATACTTTGGTTTTACACTTCTTAACATCCTGTGGTTTTATTGTTTATTATTGACAAAAATGAGGTAATAATTTTTGTTTAGTTAGTGACTTTTGGAAAGACAATCGTTAATAAGCATTAGTATGTATTATTACTTTTTATGAGAGAAATATCTAATTTTGATAATTATATTTTATCAAAAATGACTTATTTTGGCACATCAAAAAACCTAGCAGATAAAATTCCACTTTTTTTCCTGAATCAGATCATAATACCATTAATTTTGTATTTGCATTATTTGTATTAATTAAATAATTATTTATTTGTGCTTGTTAGGTTATTACCATTGGAAAACATGTTAAAGGGTACCACTACATCATCGCAAATCTGGTAGGTGAATTAATTGGTATATATTATTTTACTAGATATGCTTATTCATTTAAAATTTAATTTTGAATGACCAGCATTTATCAGTGGTGTTTTAAAAAATATAGTTTGATTGTAATTAGCCAGGCATGGTGGTGGGCACCTGTAATCCCAGCTACTTGGGAGGCTGAGGCAGGAAATTTGCTTGAACCCAGAAGGTGGAGAGGTTGCAATGAGCTGAGATCCCGCCATTGTACTCCAGCCTAGTGACAAGAGAGAAACCCCATCTCAAAAAATAATAACAATAAATATAGTTTGATTGTATTTGATAAGATTAGATATATTTCTGCAATTATGTTTTAGAATTGCTTCCGACTGTGCATCTTCTAATCAATTTCTTATTATTATAAATGATATAAGAATTTATAGAACAGTATTTGACAAGCTTCGTAAATTGTCTTAGATGATGTATTTTAAGAAAGGGAAAATTTTCAAAAATATTTAAAGTTTAATTGTCCACATATTCCCTTGTCTCTGTTTTTTACTGTCTCTGTTTTTTATAAACTCTGCCTTCTGCACATTCCTTTAGTTTTTAGCATATATAATATCCAAGATAAATGTAAATTTGTGAGAATATGTCTTACTACAAAATTAAACCTGAAAAATCAAGAATATTGACATATTATGCATTATTTATGATTTCCTACTTACTGTGTGAACAACAAAATGAAAATTAAATTTCTATAGCCAATCATCTTTTCATTAAGATTTCTGTCAAAATAAGGACCACTTAATCATGGCTTCTTGGGTTTGTGTTTTCTCCGGGCCATGGTCACTCATATTGGCTCAGAATAAACCTTTTACAATAAAAAATGAAGGTAGTATACTGAAGCAACAGAGTAATTAATTGTATTTCCCTCTTTTAAGTATCATCAGAGTCAATTTAGAATTATCACTAGACATTTCTCTTTTCAAAATAATTTAAGCCTTTACTGCTACAAAAGTTAATGTTATTTAAATAAGTAAGATGCTATGTGATTCAGGACTACACTCCCCCTACACCCCGTCTCACCCAAGAACAAGAAAAAAAGGTGAGAGAAAGAGGGAGAAAGGCAGAGAGCTTATTCTAAATAGCATAATAGGACTTTGAAAAGCTTTTGACATATACAAATGTAGATTTATTTCATGATTCCTAGTGTATCAGGTTGTTACATCAGCAGACATTAGTTCTAGTGGTGACAGAAAGAGATAAAACAAAACAATGCAATATTTACTGCCTTCCAACTGATAAATGTTTTCACTAGAAGTTGAAGGAGTTCAGAATATTAAATCTCAAAACTGCATGCCATTGGGTTGCTCAAGACAAAATTTCTGTTTGGCAATGAAATGGGTAACTACTATAAAAATTCTCTGGGACTTTCCATTAGAGTGTATTAAGGAGATGCTTAAGGAGCATTATTAAGAAGATATTAAGGAGTGTATTAAGGACTCCCTAAAGAGAAGCAAGAATTAAACTAGATGAAGCTCCACATTCAGTCTCTCTAGAACCACATTATGTGCAGGAAACAGCCTGGACAGTCAGTCTCCTGTGTGAATTGTGCCATTTGATGAACAACACAGAGCCACATTGAAAACTGTGATCTTTAAAAATGTACAGATGGAGAAGATTATATTGGAACATTGAGAAATAATGACAGAAGGTGGCTCATCAATTTGAGAGCTGATATCTGATGCTATGAAAATGAAAATGAGTGTTTGAATGACCAAAGTAAAAAAAAAAAAAAAAAAAAAAAAAGCCAGTTCATGTTGTTGTCATGCTTCTAGAGAGAAATCTACCTAATATTTTATCTGAATTCAAGTTCTGTTTTTTTTTTTTTTCTCAATACTTGGTTTCTTTGCCATATGGAACTTCTAGTGAATCAATAAGTTCTAAAGGCTGTATAGTATTGCAATTTCTGAGAATTTGGAGGACACTTGGAAATTTTACTGACATTCCAAATTAAAGAATGTCACCCAAAGTTGAAGGGCTTTCATCTTCCAAACTCTTGAGACTTTCCTTTTCTTCGCCCTGTTCGTGTTGTAATGAGTTCTATAATAGGTGGTTATAGAAGATTTTTTTTAAATCTGCAGATAATATTATTGATTAATTTCCTCAGGAATTGCTGAATGCTTGATTGGACTCCTAAAACACAATCTGTGATTAAGTCCTTTACAACAGCATTGAGAAGGATAACTTGTAAATAAGGTGATGAAGAAGTGGTCATTAGGAAATCCAGTTCTCATTCCTCCAACCTTACTACCCATATAGATTTAATTCTTTAAAAAGCCATGATCCCATACTGCTGATGACTTTACATGTCTGCCTGCTGAAATTTTAAAATTTCACAGGTTATTAATGAATACTTATTTTCTATTTTAAATCTCTTCAAATATAGCTCCAGGAGTAGTAGTATCCAATTTAACTTGATGAGTTGTTGCCATCTCTTTTGTTAACCCTTGGCCTCTCTGTTGTGATTTATTCATTTTTCCTTCTTCCTCTATTTTGCTTCTCATATATTGAAGTTTCAGAAAAGAAAGAAGAAAACTTAGGGAAATGCAGATTCTCACTGAAGCCAGCTTGAAACCTTATTTAAAGTTTCAGCTTAAATGTCATTGTAGTAAAATGACAGTAAAATAATAAAAATTGTGGAAAACCTTAAAGAAAGAGAAAACAGTAAAGGAAGCATTAACAGATGCAAAAAGTCAACAAAGTTTTTCAGGACACAGAGCAGATGAAAGATGAATTCCTGGCATAGCAAAGAGAAGGAAGATAAAACAGTAAGTTCCTGTCAGAGTGGGATATAGGTGAGAACAAGCCTGTTTATTCTGCAGAACTCCTGTGACATTCAGTCTTAGAAGAGCCAGAAACCACAGAAAGCAAGATTGAGGTGTGGAGCTTAAAGCAGGAAGCTCTTACAGGTCTCTCTGGAAGCAGAGCCTGCCATCACTATTCATGTACACATTCTCAAGTAAGTGCTTTCAGGAGTAACCTGTAAGAGAGTGAGGGAAACAAGAGAGAGAAGGAAAAAAAGCACACCAGTTAGAATGGCGATCATTAAAAAGTCAGGAAACAACAGGTACTGGAGAGGATGTGGAGAAATAGGAACACTTTTACACTGTTGATGAGACTGTAAACTAGTTCAACCATCATGGAAGCCATTGTGGCGATTCCTCAAGGATCTAGAACTAGAAATACCATTTGACCCAGCAATCCCATTACTGGGTATATACTCAAAGGATTGTAAATCATGCTGCTATAAAGACACATGCACACGTATGTTTATAGCAGAACTGTTAACAATAGCAAAGACTTGGAACCAACCCAAATGTCCATCAATGATAGGCTGGATTAAGAAAATGTGGCTCTATACACCATGGAATACTATGCAGCCATAAAAAAGGATGAGTTCATGTCCTTTGTAGGGACATGGATGAAGCTGGAAACCATCATTCTCAGCAAACTATCGCAAGGACAGAAAACCAAACACTGCATGTTCTCACTCATAGGTGGGAATTGAACAATGAGAACACTTGGACACAGGGTGGAGAACATCACACACTGGGGCCTGTTGTGGGGTGGGGGGAGGGGGGAGGGGTAGCATTGGGAGATATACCTAATGTAAATGACGAGTTAATGGGTGCAGCACATCAACATGGCACATGTATACATATATAACAAACCTGCATGTTGTGCACATGTACCCTAGAACTTAAAGTATAACAAAAATAAAAAGACACAGGGAAAAAAAAAAAAAAGAATGTGGTTTGAAGTGAGAGCTGGGTTTAGTCTGATTCCCTCTGGGCACTTTGTTGCATAAATTGCACTGCATTCATTCAGCTTGAGGCAAAGGGTGTTTGTACCTAGATTCCAGTTTTTGCTGTTGAGCAAGGGCCATCAGGGATGCAGCGTTGGTTGTCCCAGGGCAATTCTCGTGGAAAGGTTATGGATGGTAGCCATTGGCCAAAGCAGGGGAAGTGCCTAGGGGATGGGCAAATCAACTACGCCTGTAAAGTGCATCCTACATCCTAGGACACCTGGGTGGTTCACTGAGACCACTGGTACAAGGGACTTGATTCAAAGGCCATAGGGAATAATTGGATGCCCCAAGGATTCTTTTCACACAACCCAAACAACCAGGTAACTACAAGTCCTGGTGCCTAAGCACCTACTTCCTCTCTTGATAATACTTCTTACTAGAGAAGGTGAATTAGAGAAATTTTTTTTTTTGAGACGGAGTCTCGCTCTGTCGCCCGGGCTGGAGTGCAGTGGCCAGATTTCAGCTCACTGCAAGCTCCACCTCCCGGGATTACTCCATTCTCCTGCCTCAGTCTCCCGAGTAGCTGGGACTACAGGCACCCACCACCTCGCCCGGCTAGTTTTTTGTACTTTTTAGTAGAGACTGGGTTTCACCAGTTAGCCAGGATGATCTCGATCTGACCTCGTGATCCACCCGCCTCGGCCTCCCAAAGTGCTGGGATTATGAGTAACTAAGTGAATGTCTCTGTGAAAGTCTAACCTCATCATCCCCCATCCTTCATCCTGTCCCTAAAACTTAGCCAAGCATATGCACTCATGTAGGAGACTGGAAGATTCTGAAGAAACTGAATGGCCCAGAGAAAAGAACTTCAATATGGACAAACAACATTGCTATCCACCCCACCTCACCCTCACCATCTACCTTACAGTGAAGCATACTCGTTAACGTGCCTTGTCCATGCACATAGAAATTCCAAGAAACATTTTGGTGTCTTGCTCTTAAATAGCCCAGCATAACTTGGCATTTGAGAAAAGTCCTTACCATGAAGTATGCAATGCAAACAAACAGATCCGTGGAAGGAAACATGAGAAAATTTTAAAAATTGTAACTAATATCTGCCTAGAAGTAGGGAAAATATTTTATCCAAAAAAGAGAGAAGAGGATGCTATAAGAAGAAAAAGAAATGGAGAATAAGAGCTCCAGAAAGTTAACTTCTTTTGTTTCCTAGAATAACAGGTTAAATGAGTTGGAAGATAAATTTGAGAAAATCTTCCAGAATATGTAACATAATGACAACACAAATATAAAATAGAAAAAATAAATGTATAAGGGACCTTGACATTTTATTTAACAGTTATAATATCTTAATAATTGATATTCTAGAAAAAGAGAAGAGTGAAACTAGGGAAAGGAAAATGTTAAAGAAACATTTGGAAAAATATCCAGTACTGAATCACATAAATCTGCTTATTGAATATACACAGTAATAAAAGACAAAGACCTACAGTGACAATATCATAATGGAATTTCAGAGATAAAGAGAAGATTGAAAAGTTTCTAGCAAGTGGCTGGAGGTGGATAAGAGTGAGAAGTAGATGACATACCAAAAAATTAGAAATAACATGTTTTTCATTAGAAACATTAGATAGTGATAGTCAATGGGACAATGCCTTCAGATTATAAGGTTTTTTTTTTACCATAAAATTCTATACCAAGCCAAACTACTAACCATGAATCAGGATAAAACAAAGTTATGTTTTAGACATGCAATGTCTCAATAAATTTATCTCCAAAGTATTTCAGTAAACTATCGGAGGACTCCAGTAGAGATAATCAATAAATCAAGAAAGAGAAATATGACCAAGGAAATGGGATTTAAATCAGAAAAGTGGTGAAGAAACATGCTAAAGTAACAGCTGTAGAGTAGGTGAAGAGAAGAGCCAATTTGGATTCCAACATTAAGAAGGGGGTCTCCTAGAAATTAAAATTTCAAGAAAAAGTTGAAACAGATTACCTGATATATTTTAATATTTCATTTTTAAAAAAAGCTTTACTCATAGGCATGAAATGTTTTCATGGAAGCACTGGGAAAAATAAGGATAGGCATATAGAAATCTCTAGTAGTGAAAAAATGGGACATGATTATAAACATGGGCTGAGATCACGTTCAGGAAAGAAAATGCAATCCTGGTACACTATTTGGCTTTGCTATGAACAACATTTAGAGTTATAAATATGTAAACACTAAGTACTGATTAAAATGGGTGAGAAGATAAATGGTTTTGTCGTGTACACAAACTACGTACTCGTGGGGTACACAAAAACTCAATAAAAATTTCTAAAATTGATAAATTAGAATGAGTAATAAAAATGTGTCATGCAGAAGAGGTAAATATGTGAAAAACAAATATATTAAAATTGAATGTTTTGAAGCAACATACATAGGGTAAAACATACATAGGGTATGTTTGGAACTGGAACATACATAGGGTAAAACAAAGAATATATGATTTTGGTTATATTCCTTTTTGCACTATTTCTATTATCTTGATAAACAGAAACAAAATTGTGAGCCAATACAAAGTAATTACCTTCTCCTCCAGCTAAATAATATAATAATATGCATGTTTTAATGTCAATAACAAAGAAAACATTCTCCTACATTTTTGAGTGTGGTAATTCCAAATTAATTTAGGATACTTTTAACTTTTGTGTACAATAATATAGAATAAGTATTTGTGAAATGTGAAAACATTTGTAATTGTGGCATATGGAAATTAACTTCATCTTTGAGAGAGATATACTATCAAGTTGATAAAATTCATGTCAGCACAATATTTGAAATCAATGTAAATATAACATAATAGTTTTAGTAATGACTGAATTCATTGCAATAATACAAGAGAAATTTTTTTTCCCAAAATTTAATATATTCTATAATATTAGCTTCCAGCTTAATGTGAAGTTGTTTAATTCTTCTCAAATAATGACTGGACATTTAGTAACTCGTTTTGAAGATGTTCCTATCACATGAGTGAAGAAACAATTCAAACAGGAGTAACTTGCTCACAAGGTTGTGGTTCTTCGAGAACTATTAATGTTGTTAAGTGTCTGTAACCACATGGTGGTTCTCCATTGTAGATCCAGTAAGTAAAACCCAGTCCTGGTCAATGGAAGATTTCTCAATAAAGTGGAGAACTTTTACGTAGGCTCAACCATGAGTGTTTCATGAGATGATCCATTAGCAAACGTGTATTGATTAGGGAACCACTATGATGCTAATGTGGTGTTAGGTGCTGGTGACGAACACTGGCTGGTAAATACATGGGACATTTTCTGCAGGCTTGTTATATCTCATATGTTCTTTGACATATCTGAAACCACAATGTATAGAGTTATTTGGTAAATGTTAAGTAGCATTTGTTTCTCAAATAAAAAGCGTGACATCAATGCGTTCTATGTTTAGGGATTTACTGATGGAGACCTATTAAAAATCCAGTTTGGAGGTGCGAATGTCTCTGGGTTTCAGATAGTGGACTATGACGATTCCTTGGTGTCTAAATTTATAGAAAGATGGTCAACACTGGAAGAAAAAGAATACCCTGGAGCACACACAACGACAATTAAGGTTTGCTTTGGTTTCTGCTTTTTTTCTTTTGCTTTCCTATGTGAGGAGAGAGAAGGGCCTTGGCAAATAAGGAAGAAGGAGAAAATAATAAAGGGAGTACAGAGCACATTTCAAAATATGGCAAACACATTGACTGCTAAATGTATTTTTCACATTTGTATGGTTTAAGTAAAGCTATTAGAGCTGTACTGTATTACTCTTGTGTTTTCTACTTCCTTACACCTATGATAATTTATAATAAATAAAGTCATTCATTTATTAATCCATTTGGCATTTTTATTGAGGGAATTCTGAGCCAGACACTTTTTTGGTAGATAAAAAGACAGGGAAAATGTCCCTGCTCACAGCTGAATGGAAGAAAGACAAAAGCATTGACAGAAGAATACCATGAAGGAAGAGCTCAGCAAACTCTTAGCGACATGGAGGGGGCAGGGAATTTTTAAGCTGAGACCTGAAGAATAAGTGCCAATTTTACCCTGGCTGCTGTTTAGAATATTGTGTTTGCAAATAAAGAACAGTAGGTGTCAGTTTGCTCCTTATCTTCAAAAAGCCAACTTGCAGACAGTTCTTAGTTCAGTCAATAAACACATGGCCACAAAAAGGAGAGAAAGAGAGTGTGTGTGCGTGTGTGTGTGTGTGTGTGTGCGCGCGCGTGCATAAAATAACTGCTGATGAGTAGCCTGGTCTCTTGAACACTTTAAAAGAAGATAAAAATCTCAACTTGCCTTAAGAATTAAAACATAACTGTAATGCTTTATGCAATCAAATGAAAGATTCTTGAATGACAAATATTATTTATTCCTCAGCTATAAGAGTTACACAGACTGATCTTTGTTCTCCATGGGTTTGGACACAATGAGGTCTTGTTTATTTGATGCATTTTATTGGGTGTACACATGCATGCATGAATTTACTTCTAAATAGTCAATATTTCTGCTGTTGACAGGAAGGTATTTTTCCTTCAGTTGGTAACCTTATTGAGAGCAGAGTTAAGATTAAAACCTGACTAAGGGTAGTTTAAAGAGTGAGTGGGTTGAAAGTTAAGCTGATGATCACATTCTTTATGAAAATTAAGAGCAAAAATTGAAAAATTGTATAGTAATTTTGTTTGTGAATTATAAAGCAATTGTATATGAACCAGGCAGGACAGTGTTATTTCAGTTTCTCCCACAGTTGTACCTGAGTATGCATCACAGAGATGTTGTTTGATGATAGATGCATGTCTGTCTATGAGATTGGTCCTAGAAAAGGAGGAGAAATTTTGAAGTTCTTTACTTTGGGGTTTATAAATGGATCTTTTAATTTTTAAGTCAATTTTGTAAAAGCATTCCATAGGATTTTAAAGAATAACACCAAGTTGGTTTTTTTTTTAAAAAACGAGGTGACTTCCTGTTTGGTGACTTTAGTTGAGATTCAGTGTTTGTACTGTTTATATCATGGAGGTACTTTTCATGTAACGGGCTTCTGAGCAGGTAGATGGACACCCAGAGCCTTAGTTGATGTCAGCGTATGTATCCATCTGTGCCTAGAAGAGGTCTAACTGCCGATCCCATTCTGTGTAATTGCAGGCTTCCATCCATTCAGAGATGGTGCCATGTAAGTTCTCTGATGGAGTGGATGTTATCCTCAAATGGAGCCAGCATGCTCCTTTTGAATACTCTGTTGGTCATTGTGTTGCCCCCCACTACTGCCTGTTGGGAGAAGGATGAAAGCAAAATGAAATTATGTCTTTCTCCTAGAAGTCATGTCATGATTCAAGTTCATGTGTCTTGCATTAAAATGCAAGATGTATTTGCGGTATGAGAGATGTTTGGCAATGCATTCTGTTAAAAATTTTGCCAAAACCTAGTGCCAGATTTCACTGAGTTGAGAACCTACATTGTGACCTTCCTTGCTCCCTTCCTGCTGTAAGCATTTCCCCTTCAAAGCGCCTCCCTTTCGATGGCTTCTGCCCATTTTCAGAGATATCATTATGCTCCTTCATTGTGAGGTGTTTCAAAGAACCTAGACTAATGTGTTTTAAAATTTAGGCTGTGAATCACTACTTGACCCTGAGTCCAAGATTCTCATCTACACAATGCAGTAATGATCATTAATTCCCAGGTTGCTGTGAGGATTAAATAACACTTGCAAAGGGCTAGCACAGCTTTGGAAACATAGGTGCCTATAAGGGCTAATTTGTTTTCCCAGCCATTTTCTAAAATGAGAGAATGTCAGCCAATTTCAGAGGTGTACTCCAACTTTAACATTTTGTAATCCCCCTAACTCCACCCAGAGGCATATTTTATGAGGTCCCTGAAGCTTGATAAAAATTACTGGAAATCTGTGGGGAGAATGTGTTTGGGGAGGGAGTTTATCCTAACACAGAAATGTATTGCTTATGTACTAAAGTCCAAAAACTAAATATAAAGAAATGAAAAACATGTGAATCCTGTCTTTGAGAATTCAGTCTAAAGAAGGAGACAAACATATCAATCAGCAAATATAATAGACTGATAAAATATGCCAATTTCTTGGCCATGATTTTGACAATGATTAGAAGGAAGGTCAAGGAAGGCTTTTGTGGGAGGGATGTCTGTGCAAGGCTTTGCACATGGTTGAGAAGGAAGAAAAATAAGGGAAGCTGCTTGGGGAAGTTCTAAATGTACAGAGACTCGAAGTAATGCAACAGCGTGACAGATCCAGGGAACTTCACATGTGTTGCTACTGCAAAAATGTAAATATTTGGGACCAGTGAGTGGGGGCATGTTATGGAAGTTGCAAGAGGTAAGGTCCTTCAATTGTCAACAGATGTGGAAGGTAGTAAGGTCAAGACAATGCTTTCATAATTATTTTTGCTTCCAGACAGAAGAAAGGAAGAAAAACTATATAAGAGATTATATAGCATCTTCTAAATATAAACAAGGAACATAGTCTCAATGTATTATTTGCTTACAGAAAGGGAGCAAAATATTTCTAATGAGATTATTTACAATGAGGTTATGTCCTTTGATGTTGCCTTTTGGATGATTGACTGAATCGGGTACATTGCCTGATAAATTCATATCACATTTTACTACTCAACAATAAAAACTAGTGCTATTGGTATAAAAATCTATAAAAATACAGTGCAATATGTCAAATTATTTCATAGTTAGGGTTTAGGAATTATAGAAATTATATCAACTTGTGAGAGTAATAAATAAATGACTGTTCAACGTTTTCATCGTCCCCTAAAGTTAAATCAGCTTCCAAAGTTTTCAAATTAAAATAAATTTTATTCAGCAAGTAAAATCTTAAATAAGGTTTAATATTTAACATATTTTAATAACCACCAAGTATAAATTACAATGTTTAAATTTCCTCATTCTTACATAGTATACAAAAAATAACTTAAGTCGTGGCACTGAAATTTTAGGTCTGACACTAATTTGCTATTTGGGGCAACATTCATTCATTCATTTATTAATTCATTTATTTACTCAACACATATTTATTGTCTACTCCACAGCAGGCACTGTTCTAGGTGTCAGAGAAAAGACAAAGTTCTGGTCCTTAAGGAGATTACAGTCTTCAGACTAGAAACCAACAATTACTTTGTAGCATTGATAGAAGTTGTCATATTGCTATCTTAAACCTATATATTCAAAACTAAACTTTAGATTTTCCTCTACTACTTCCTCCTCAGCCTCTGGAGACTATTCCTTCAACAGTCTTTCTTATCCCAGTTGATGGCAACTACATCTTTCAGTTATTGCTTAGACTAAAATCTTGGTCTTTACCCTTCTCTTTCTCTTGTAACATACATTCTATGTATCAGAAAACCCCATTAACACTGCCTCACTTCTTAACCACCTTCTCTGCAACCAACTAAATCCAACTACCTTCATAAGGTTATTGCAACAGTCTCTAAAATTGATTTCCCTCCGGTCAGCCCTGCCCCTGTTATCTTCCATCTTTGTGATCCTTTTAAAGTATATATAGATTATATTGTCGTTCTCTTCCAAATGCTCTAATGTCTCTCCACGTCACTTGGAGTAAAAAGCCAAAGTCATCCTGTTGTCTTATGAAGACCTGTCACCCAGTCCCATGGAACCACATCTCTGTGCAGTGGCTCACTCTGTTTCAGCTACATTGGCCTCCTTGCTGTTCCTCAACCAACCCAAGCACCTTCCTACTTCAGGGCCTTTCAGCTGGCTATTTTTTCTTCTTGACTGTTGTCCCCTTAAATATTTGCATGGCCAAGTCTCCTGCACTCCTTAAATCTCTTTCAAATCCTGTCTTCTCATGCAAGGCAATAGTAGGCTATGTATTTAAAACTGCAATCTTGCCACCATCAGAGTTTGTGTATCACCCTTTCCCTGATCCAGCTTTCCCAATTCTTACCTTTTAGTTTACTTTTTTTTTTTTTAACATTTAAACTCTTTTTATGATGGACATTTCAAACACACATAAAGGTAGAAAAGTGTAATAATCTCCATATACCCACCATCCAACTTGCCAACGTTTTGCCAATCTTGTGTTCAGTTTTAAAAGAAGCTTACTAGTTTACTGTTCTTATCATTTATGTGTTCATTGCATTGATAATTGTCTCCTCCTACTTGAAAGTAAGTGCCATTTAAAAAGAAATTCATCGAGGTATCCCAGACTCCTAGAATAAATCCTCACACCTGGTAACCATCTAATAGAGACTTCATGAATCAACAAATAGAGAAAAGCAAAGGTACTCTGGTATCACCTATGAGAAGCTCGTAATCCTAATTCTGGAGGTAAGAAAAGGCTTCTTAGAGGAAGCAATATGGAATTGGAGACCTGAAGAAGTAGGAGTTAGGAGAAAACATAAGGAACAATTGACTCCAGATAAAGGAACTAGGATATATAACGTCTCCAGTGCAAGGAAAATATAAATATTCCCATAAGGCTAGAGGTTGAACAGAAATGATTTGAAGAAATGCTGAGAAATCATACTTTAGAACTGTACAAGATCCAGAAGAGGTTTTATGCCTTGTTGACATATTAAG